AAGATGACTAAAGAATTGATAACCAATTTATTAACAGCGGCTAGACTGATAATAGCTAGGCAATGGAAATCAAAATCTGAATTTCAAATCAATGAATTGTATAGTGAAATATGGAATATAGCTATAAATGATAAACTAACTCGTAATTTAAAAGTTAAGAAAGGAGAGTTGAAAAAGAATAATTTTTATGAAATATGGGGCACATGTGTGTTAACAAGAGGAAAAGGGAAAGCTCCAATTCAAGAATCAATGCAGTTCTGGAGATGAGGACAATAGCAGAAAAAGAATATAAATGGAGGAAGAAGAAGATTACAGCAAGAAGAAGATGACACCATTACGCCTATGGTGGTGGGGAGCACAGTTAAATTGTATTTTGGTTTGTGTATTTTATGTTTATGTTTATATATAGATATAAAAATAAAAAATATTTTAAAAAAGAAAAGAAAAAAAGAACTCCCTCATGAAGGAAGGCCAACTCTTCTTAGTGTCCTATGCCACAGTCCCTACCTGTTCTGTTGTCATTAATTGGACATTCACTCCAAGGCAGTGGATCTTGGAAGGAGTTGAAGAAATACCACATGACCCACGCAATAATAGTATTATAGTATAATCCCACCAGAAAGGAGACAAACATCGCCGCTATACCTGTAGGAACAGAGGAAAACACTTTAAGCAGATCTCACAGTTTGTGAATAAAAATAGCAATTATAAAAATCTGTGTCACTAAAAAAAAAGAAATGTGTCTTAGTAACTCCCAAAAGAAAAGAAAAGCAAAGAAAAAAGAAAAATTAAGGTTAGAGCTTGGAAGAGTTACTTTTTGGATTATGGTTCCAGAATCCTTTAGGCAGCATGGCCATCATGAGTTCGTAGAAAAGTAACTTTTCTAAAGATTACATTTTTCTGTCCAATCTTCTCCCTTCCCATCAAATGATTAAAATGATAGATACTAAAAAGGATTCACAGAAAGCGGCAGAGGTCAAGGCATTCATGAATAACTACACTCTAAGGCATCTGAGGCCACAAAATCCCTTTATCAATAAGTAGAAGAGCTCAATGTTAATTTCAAATAATGGAAGAGTCCATTTTTTTCCACACGTATCTTCCAATATACATGATAAAAGGCAAATTGTTCAGTTCCATTTACTCTTACATTTGTCTGTCTCTTCCCTCTTCAATGATCACACTCATCCTGAACTTACTTTGGAAGCTTTTATCTTGCTGGATTTATTTAGTAATGTTTAAAATAAGAAATAGTAATATTTAATGTAGCATAACGATTGCTGTTGTTGTTGTTGAAATTCTGTATTTTGAAACCATTGATAGATTGACATAGATTCATGGCACACTCTCAGGTTTGCTTAATAATTTAGCCATGGCATCAGCCTGTTAATAGGCCATTTTGGGTATACACTGGTTCAGCTGTAGCTGAACGCCACAATGCACTTGCTTTCCAACATAGTAATTGGAGAGCAATGTTCTATCAGAGTGAAATTCATTGAGTCTAGATGAATGGTTCACAGAAAGCAATCCAGCAAGGAAATCCACACATGGAGTCAACTTCCATGAACAATTCTACCCATCAATGATCAGGACAAAAGCTTTTACTGACGGAATAGTCATTTACTTACTATTTATAGATGGTTCATAGGATGAAAATGTGGTGCCATTTCATAACGGAACATACAATGTGAACAAGGCATGGCTACTTCACATTAAACAAATGGACCAGAATCTTCTTAACATGGAGAAGGGCAAGCACCCAAACAGGGCTCCCTCTAGTGGCCTGTCATTTACCAGACTCACTGCCTACTGATTGTGAAATTAGGCACATGATCTGAGCTGAGGGGACAATTTGCACAACTGCCCCTGCTGCCTAGAGTGGTCTTAACCGACCAGATAGGCGGGATATAAATAATTTTTTTAAAAAAATACAATTTATCTCAAGATTTATACGATCTGAAGAGAAACCAGAGAATGTTGGCTTGGTTTGAAAGTAACCTAATAAGACAGCTATAAATGTATGAAAGAAAATATGTGTACCATTCATTTCACCCGATTTTTTCCTAAAATATTCAAGAATCAAATACTGGTAAAATTAGCTTTCAAATATTGATTGGATCACCACTTGCATCTATTGGGATTTTGAAATTCATGCAATGTACCTGTATCTATCCGTATGTGTAAGACAGGTGTGTTCTGAGATGGGCAACAATACATATTAACAACATTAACAACATTAACAACAATACATATTAGCATACATATTAACCAACATTATTGGTTAATAACATTCGTATTAAAAACTCACCTACTCCCTTCAAGGCAGGATGGATAGAACTCCAGACTCCCACACTACCTTTTCTGAGCCTTTGCCCAATGGCAAATTCAAGGTGAAGCAATGGGATGCCTTCCAGAATCAGTAAAATTAGGAAAGGGATCATAAACGCTCCTGTAAGAGTACAATCCTAAATGAGTCTGTTGTATAGAAAAATAATGGGAACATAACAATGTCTTGGATAAAAAATCAACAGAATGAACTATGAAAGCAAACATGGTAAAACCCTTTATGAAAGATATATGTTGCTACACTGTTTTATAAGGAATTGGTCTAGAAAAGTGCACTGATATTTGAGGTGTTTTATTCAAACCTTTATCAATGTTTACTTATAGCTAATTTAAATTTATATCCTGTCTTTTCGCCAATTTAATCTTATCTCTCTTAATGCATGTATACCCCACCTCTCCAAACAAATCTCAGATTGTTTTACAAGAATCTTTTCTACAGAAACAGACTGAAATAAATAAATTTAAAAAAGGAGAGGGGATTAAAGGGGCATTGGAAAGCCTTCCATTTCCTTTACAACACTTTACAGGAGGGAACCTAATGTCTCTTAACAAGCTCTTGTTTATCTGTTCTCTTTAAAAAGCATGAATACCCTCATTGCTTAAGGTAGTGGCAATCCCTCAGGTTACATCTGGGTTGAAGGAAGATTATTTCCAATGGCACCTGAGCAACAGGCAGTGTCTGTTTAACTAGCAATGTAACGGTGGGGACTGGCCTAGAACTGCGTTGCCAAAGGAAACTTCGCAATGCAGCATTTTGGTCACCAATTGTATATTCTGGAATTCCTTCATGGAGGTGGGGGGTTCATTTTACACTTACCGTAAAGTCATGCAATAATGGCCTTAAGCAAAAAGATAATATTTAACCCAGGTCTGTTATTTCTGAACGCCTAAACTTTTTCTAAAGATTAGTCTGAAAATTGATTTCAAACATGTTTGGTAATCTCACCAGTGATGCCACTGCGAAATTTTTCTCAAAGTAAATACTGGCAAAAGAGGTTCTTTCCCGGGGACTACAGAAAAGGACGGAATTAATTTCCACTACTATGATTGCTCCTCTCTCAGGTGATCATATCTGTTTTTTTTTCCAATGCATTTTAACATTAGTATGGTTGTTCCTCATAATCTAGACACGCGAGATACAATATCCCCAGGGCACATTGCCCATATCATCCTGTTCAGTACAACAGTCCATCTGTGGAATATTTGCACTTCTTCGCTTAAAAATGGGGAAGACGAAGAATACGTATGCTCTCATAGGGTTAAGCTACTTCTACATCCCCTTCAGAATAGATGTTTGGAACACACATACGTAGCCAAAATAATGCGATTACCAGAAATGTCTGAAAGGTGAAGTGTTCTTACATGTAACAGCAACATTTTAGTGGATCTCATAATGAAGGCTGATAATACTCGGACATGCAAAACTGCATGCTGAAAAGGATATTGAGCCATTCCTTTCCTAGAAGGAGCCTGAGAATTCCCAATAACAACTATGGTTGGAGTTGGAATGTGAGTTTATTTTATGAACTGCTAGATAGCTCAGTGGCTTAGGTCTACCCAAGGTTGGGGGTTCGATTCCCCACTGTGCCTCCTAGATAGGAGTTGGATTGCAGTTCTAAGATTTTTTTTACTGATACTTATATAATCATGTAAGTAAATATACTGACCATGTAAAACATTCCACATATTAAGTTTCAAAATCATCATGCTCTGAGTGAAGGTGTATGACTGAACATTTATCAAAATCTTTTTACTGAAATGTAGTGAAAACAGGAGGCAAGGAGAAAGGACAAATCCTTGAATAAGGTCTTTTACAATGCAGAAAGAACATACAGCAATCAGTGGTGGCAGCCTGACTCTCTTTCAGATGATGTCAAGCTGGTCATTATAAAGAGTAGATCAGTACTTTAGCAAGGAAGATATTCAGTAAGTATATTAACAAAGAGATTTAGCAGGATATGGATGCTAACCAAGCTCTTGCATTGGCATATGTTTTCAAGAAGCCTGCTTATGTTACCATCTGGGCACTAGCTTACTTTCAGAATGAGAGGAAGACTGAATGATAATGGAGCAAAAGTTAGTAACTCTCCCCCTCCCTCATTTGTCTAATATTTATTTTGATGTGTTGGTGGATAAAGAGGAGGATTTCTGTATGAGTAGTTGAATGATAACACTCTGCACCCTGGTACGGAGGAACAAGGCAAGAGAAGGGGGTTGTAGAAAGACGGTGGCCCACTCACTAGCCCACTCACTCCATTGCCCACATGCAGCTCACATCAGATGGCCCTGCTAGAAGAAGCAGACTTTGGCAGAGAAAAAGAAATCCGTCAGCTGAAATGGGGCAACAGACATCTTGCATTTTTAATACCGTTTGGTCACAACAACCACCCTGAATTATTTTTAATGAATGCACAGGATTCATGGGGTCACAAAGAGTCGGACATGACTTAACGACAAAACAACCAACAACAGGATTCATGCTAACCTCACCAGCTCCAGACTACAGACAATGTAGGGACAAAGAGAGTAGCACTGTCCCCATGTCCTGTTGTCAGTTTTGCAAAGACACCTTGCTGGCCATTTCATTCTGGGAAACAGAATGCTAGACTGGCAGGCTTAGGAGGCTTATTTATAATGGAAGCAAAATCAAGCCACCACTTCTGGTTTGTTCCAGTGCTCCTTGTATATAAAGTCCCCTGCACACAGAAATACAGTAGGTGAAAACAAAGGTTACCCTTCTGGCTGGCATTATAGTTTCAGATGTTCAGGGAGTTGATTTTTTAATATCAGGGAGCATTAAAATGCATCACTTGCAGCCATTCCCATGTATATGGCATACTGCAGACCAGAAAATACCAGTATGTTTGCTTGATACAATGTATTGTATAAAATCATCCATGTTCTGAGTAAGTAAATAAATGTATATGTTCTTAGAATGCAAGAAAACTAATCCAAATGAAAAATGAATCACTAAAGCCCCTCCTTTGTCCCAGAGCATTATGATTAAATTAGATGTATATTGGTTTATTTTTGTTCTAGACTCATCCTATTACAGGAACTCCCCAACTGCATGATGTTAGCATGCTGCAAGAAAAACTATAGCATGTCTTAATAAATTAAGGTATCAAAATTAAGGCTCTGATCTATGTCTCTTCATATCGGGAAACCAGATGCTGTACTGAATTCCTGCTGTGCAATGATCGAATCCTCAGCAAAAGGAATGTAACAGGATTCTCTGATGCAGCAGATCCTGTAAGCACCACCACTACTATTGTTGAAGCACAGTTGTCTCCTTAAGCCCTAATTGACTGGGGTAAAATAAGGAGGTGGAATGAAGAGAACATTGAATATAATGCCCTCAGTGGTGGAGGAGAAATTTTCCTTTGCTCTGGAAATATTTCTCAATGTAAACTGTCCCTTCATCAGAGGGGAGCTTGTGTAATCAGTATTTGGAAATATTTAAGCGTATGCTTTCTGATGCTGAATATTGGAAGCTCATCCTACTGCAAGCAGTGGTTTAGGGAATATGATCCATGCAATCCTGGGTCTAAAAGCTACACTAAAGGACCTCAATTCCATAACTAGAAACAATCACCCTTAAGAGGAGAAAGCTATCTTTTCCTTTTTAATGAAAGTCTATCTCAATTATTTGGCAAATTAGCTTGCTTTTGCTTTGTGACTGGCAAATTGATAGCATGGCCAACGTTTGATGTCTCCAGATCAGATCACTCATTAAGACAAATACTTCCTCGTCTTACAATGTTAATCCCTCCAGACGTACAAAGCTTTCCATTCAAGTGCCTTAGATATCAGACAAGCAAACAAAGTGGGTTATCTAATTAACTAATTGCAAAACAAAAGCAAGTTACTTTGCTAAGTGTGGGATTGAGGCAGTTTGTAATTAGAATAGATACCCATTTTCTCTTAAGGGTCTTCTGTTTCTAGACAGTAATCTGGTCTAGCAAGCCTCTCAGTCACAATGCACTAAAAGATGTATGAGTCTGGAGGGATAATGACGTCAAAGGAAAAAGAAAAATAAAGTTTTTGAAATTTATTTTTAACAAAGAAAGAGCGCCTACACATCTGGCGATGATTTTTGAAACTTTGATGTTTTGTGTACACCATCTACACCACTGTAATGCCCTGCCTGATTAAGACTTAAAGAAGTTCCAGACTATGTACAAGGAACACACAGCTTTTTTGTTGGACTATGAATAGCCAACCAGTGCACCATCTACAATCAAATATGTAACTTTAACATTGGGAGAGGCATTTCAGTTACCACCAGCAGAAGTAAAATCTGAAATGACAACTCTGACATAAGCCTGCAACTCTGATTTTGAAACTGACTTCTTCTGACAAAGGAACCCTATTTGCATGCTTCACCATGACCTTTTCTTTCTTTTCTTTTTTTGTACTTTCCACACCACTGTCATGTCCAGCCAGATGAAGACTTGCAAAGGTTGAAAGCCACCTTTTGTTTGTTGCATTGTATTGGCTGTCACACTCTCCCTCCCACACATGCCGTCTCGCCCACTAAATCCCTTTCAAGATACTATAATTGTGGCAATTTGTATCTCAAATATAATGGCCTGAAAATCAAAAATAGAAAAGTGTAGGAAAGCCAGAGCTGCTGGACCCAAAAAGCCAAGTCACTTAGTAAGTAATGGGTTGATGGAGAAGGAAACAGAAGGTGTGGTCAAATGATAACAAAAGAACGTGTCTGATCACGCCAGAAAGGGCTGCTTTGCAGGGAGTGATCTCCCTTATAACCAACAAAAGAACGTGTCTGATCATGCCAGAAAGGGTTGCTTTGCAGGGAGTGATCTCCCTTATAACTGACCCTTCTGTCCATGGAGGGATTACTCCAGTCCAGCTCCCCAAAACAGTAGCCCTGCTGCTGGACCAAAAAGGTGTAGTTTGGGCATTGATCAGGGTCGGACTGGTTCACAAGCTCGTGTATTGTCTGCGATTACCAGAAAATAGCTTGTACTGGACTCCGTCACAAGCAGTCCAAAATGAGATCTATTTCCGTTTGGGCATTGATCAGGGTTGGACTGGTTCATAAGTTCGTGTATGTTCTGCGATCACCAGAAAACAGCTTGTACTGGACTCTGTCACAAGCACTCCAAAATGAGATCTATTTCCCTGTCTGATTGTACCCACACCCTTGTGCTATGTGGGATGCATGTATAAAAACATATTCAGGTACAACTACTGATTTAATATGTGGAATGAAGGCAAAGTATAACTTATAATGTATTTATCTTCTAAAATGTTGTCTAAATATTAACAATTAGTTAACTCTTATCTCAAAAGTTTGTCCCAAATAATATTATAATGTAAAGTAGGCACAATGGTATCTACTTTTGCACATACTTTTATTGCATGATATCATTACTTCAAGAAGACCTTTGAGTTTCATAAGAGAGCTTTTCAGAAAACAATTTTGACTTGCCTTGCATGGCTTACGGGAACTCCCATTTTATACCTCTATGACTCAGTTTCAGTGTCACAGAAACTGATATTCTGGGAGAACCCTATAAACAGGTGCACCTAAAAAACAACCAAGGATCCTCTCCATATCATTTGTTTGTCATGGAGTCCCGTGGTGACTTTGCACCATAGCTTGTTTCCCCAAGAGAACAAATCATGGGTAAAAGGTTAGATGCTGTTGCTTGCAGTGGAGAGAACAACCAACAAGCACGCTGGCTCATTCACAAGCCAGAATTTTTAAGATGTCTGCGTTTTTATACATCCTTTCACACTCTTTAATTACTGCTGCAATCCCATTAATGTTTTACTCAAGAGTAAATCTCAGTGAGTTTAGTGAGACTTTATGCTAAGTAAACACAACCACAAAGCACACTCCTATGCATCTCTCTCTCTTTCTCCAACAGATTCTGCAGGTTCTTTCTCAACCCTGTGATTCTGTTATTGGAAAACATAGCAATGTAAAAAAAATTCTCATTCCCTTTGGCACAAGCAGTTTCCCGCAAATAAATGTCCCTCTCCAAAATTTCACTAATTGAAAACATACCTCCTCCGTGGCTTTGGCAGAGATAAGGGAATCGCCATACATTGCCCAGGCCAACACAAAACCCAATACAGGTGAGCATATATTGTGCTTTATTATCCCATTTGGGTCTTATGTCTGCTTCAGTAGTCTCAATAGTCTCCAGTTCCTCGTGGGAAGGAATTCTCCCCTCTAGGCCAGGATTTGGTAGCTGCAGCTGCAGCGGCATCATGCAGTCTCTGTCTTAGATGCTCAGGCTCAAGAATCTGCAGCTGATTCTAGGACTGGTCAAAATGAAAGCCTTGACTGCTGGCTTCAGCTCTTTATAGTGAACCTTTGACACTAAACTTGACAGTGCTGACTTGGGAGAGAAAAGAAGCGTCAGCAACTCATCTGATTAACCAAGGTTACTCTAAAACTTATTAATGCCTTATCTGCCAAAGCTCCAATTGAATGCAATCACTGCTTGGTATCAAAGCTATCAAAACAGATTGTGGCAATTCACAGGGCAATTTGCAGCAGGGTACATACAGCAGGATGTTTATGTAATCCTTACTGTGCCAAACTGCATTAAAAATAGACCAACAGGAAAACATGTACTTAGTAGAATCCTCATTCATAGGTTCCTGTAATTCCCCACACCATGAATGGGCCTTCTTTCTGTCCATCTGCACTGTGGTGGGTAAAGAGAAGCCTCTAAGATATTGTTTGACTACAACTCCCAGCAGCCCTAGCCAGTATATGAAGAGGCATGTTGGAAAGTACAAACCAGCAGAACCTGGAGGGCTACACTTTACCCACCCATTACAGACAACAAACAGATGTCTATTAAAAAGTCAACAGACTAGTATAAGACAACCAAGGAGGCTGGATTAATTCATACAGGGTGTTTATGTGTTTGTGTACATTAGAAATCACACCTGATGGCTCCACACTCAACCTTTGTACTCCCTACACACTTGTCTTACAGAGCTGAGAAGTCATTATTATCAGTAACCAAATGGTTTAGGTCTCTGGCTGCGGAGCCAAAGTTTGGAAGTTCAGTTCCTTACTATGCCTCCTATGAGTACAGCAAACATGTGTGGCCTTGGGCAAGCTGCAGAGTCCCAGGATGCCCACAGAAGTGAATGGTAAACCACTTCTGAGTTTTCTCCACCTGGAAAACCAGTAAGTTGGAATTGACTTGAGGGCATATGTTTATTATTTAGATCAATTACAGAGGTCAGTTACAGAGGAATATAATCACATACAGTAGTTGCATCAACTGGTGAAATAAAAATTACGGTAAGCTAAAAAGTTGATTTATTTTCATTTGCATGTTATGGTGCCATGGAATTAATGAGAAGTAGCTAGAAAAGCTGCTTTCTTTATTCATTTGATTTGTATTCTGGCCTTCCTTCCAGGAGCTCATGATGACATAGGTGCATGATGTTATCCAACATCATATTCCATCTGCCCACCGAGATAGGTCAATGTGATGAAGCACAACTTCTTCATGGCCATAGATGTGAAAAGATTTACACTCAGCTTGTGCCTCCTTTCTATCCAATAAACAGTACAGAGATTCCCATCATCCCTCCTGTCTGTCTAATAATTTCTACAGCTTCTGAGTGTAGATGTGAGACCTTTTGCTCATGTCCCCATCACCGAACAGACAACATTCAACCTTTTACTAAAACAGCTTTTAATTATTTACCACATTTGTATCACAACTTTACAGCACATTGTGCTCAAACAATGTAATATTTATTTATTTAAGTATTTTTGCCCTACATTGACAGCTCTTATTTTAGTTAAACATGGCCTTCAGGTTGGTATGCAGCAATAGTTAAAATAACAACATTAACGGATAATAAAAGGTGTAACAAGTTACTGGGCAAAATGCTGTTAGCATAACTTTGTGAAGTTCAAACTCGATAAGGTGCCATAAATATTTAATTTACACTAATTAAAAGCTTCTCTCATTTTTGGTTCTGAGGTTCTCCTTCCCCCCTCCCCAAGGAAACCTCTGGTAATTTTAGGATGGGGGAGGGAGCCTTTGAGAGTCTAAAACAGTTGCCAAATCCCCGCTGCAGGATCAGGACTGCTAGTGGCACTTTTTGATTTTTAAAGGCTCTCCTCTCCACATCAAAGCTCCCAAATTCCTCCCCAGGGAAAAAGAGAGACCTAGGGAGCTTCAGACCCTAAAACAGGGGAGAGGAAGCTTTTAATTACTGTAAGTTAAATATGTCTGTTGCCTGATTCGGACAAAGTTATGCCCACAGGATGTTGCCCAGTAAATAAAATCAGAAAGAAAATCCATAAATAAAAATTAAAAATTATATGATACCATGTTTCCAAATACCTTCCTAAATAACATCATAAAGCAGAAGTGGGCAAACACAGTCTTCCAGATGTTGCTGGACTGCAACTTCTATCAGCCCTAGCAAGTATTGTTAATGGTGGGAGGTGATGGGAGCTGCCATTCAAAAAAATATCTGGAGAACGACATTTACCCATCCTGGCACAAAGCATAACATGCAACATGTAGTTGCTGCTCAAGAAGAGCTTCATTGACCTAAGCAGACATGTGGTCAGGCAGGAGCAAGGCATTAAAGTGAGGCTTGCCCACACTGATAATGAAGTCTCCTTCACATTACAGAACGGGTGCCATTATCATGTGTACCTACACCATCCCTTGTATTATGCAGAGCTTTAGGGGAGTCAGTAGACTTAGAAGAAATAACTTATTGGTAACTCATCTATCTTTGAACTGTGGCAGGAAGATAGCTTATTCCCCAAAGTTAAAATCAGGATCTGAAATTAATCCTTTGTTTTAGGACATAAATCTCCATGACGATTTAAAACAGTGGATTTTGTCACAAGTTCACTCTCACTAATACTGGGGTGGGGGGTAGGGGTGAGGTTCAGTAGTATGTAATATCACTGGCCATCATGTATAATACTTATAACAATCTATTCTAACTACATAACTTCAGTGCTGAACATTAGGCAGACAGGTTTGACAACAAATTACAGTTTATTCTAGCACATACTCATATGTAGCCTCTTAAAAGGCATAAACAACACTCCATTTTAAACATTTACAGTAACGATATATCTGAATTAGCTTTGATAATGAATCAATCATACTTTTGTCTTAACAATTTAAAATCTGAAATGAAGACAGAAACATCAGACTTACATGTGTAAAGGGAAGATTTACACATTTTCATTTTCTGAAATAACTGTACTAACATAAAAAGTAAGTTTTTTGAGAAACACATTCCTCTTGGTCTGATGATACAACTACATATTTCCAGCGAGAATGAGTCAGGAGGATTGATGGCTCCCATTAAAAATGCGCTGCAGTAATGGTGGAAAGACAGTGCTGGTAGGGGATTTAAAAAAGGAATATTGCACTTAGAACACTGTTCAGCAAAGAGGAAAATCAACACCGTGAGTTCAAGAGAAAAAGGCAACTTCTGTTTTATGGCACACAATAGCATTTATGCTGCTATTTCCCATCAAACCTTCTGTTATCTAGTCCCATCTCCGGTTCCACGCCCATCTCATTACAACATACACAGATACGTTATTGCACCAATAAAAACCTAAGTGATACACACATGAACCCTCCACCACAGTGTGCAGAATCTGCTATCCTTAACATACAGTCAGCTATTCCTACAGCACAGTTATTAAATTAACTGGATTACTGAATTTCATGTTCAGCTGCATGCTATGTATTTAATATAATACCAATGTTGCTCTTAAATATCTTTAACTGCCACAAACAAGACATTATTTGGCTTATGACTCATGTCCTCCTTTCTATCATATGATTAAAATGATATGGCAAAAGATTTTTGAGGGGAAAATATTGTTTTCCAAGCCCTTAAACTTCAGATATTATCATATACATGCAGAGCAAATGTCATTAAATTAATAGCCTCAAAAAGTTTGACAGATCAAATTAATCCCCGGCATTTAATCCCCGACTGCAGCCAGTGAACATTACGCCAGGCTCTTGCCAGGAAATCTAGACAGTTTAGTGATACTACCCTACCTTTTCAATAACTCTAAAAAGCCTTTCTTTTTTAACTCCATGCCTTCCTCTGATTTCTTCTGCAAAACTGATACTTCTCCTTCCTTCTGGCTGTTCTCTGCATTTTCTGTTCTGAAGTACTCAACATGCGCCCCTGTTAATGATAAGAATGTCAAATGAAAGAGGAATTCCATTCAAAAAATATGAAATCAGAAATTTTATAACACCTATTTTCATGTTTTCCCACATGAGAGTGACTGAGGAGAGAACTATGCCCCCCCATCTCGAGAACATTATTCCCATGGAGACTCACCCAGCCTTTACATGGTGTCTCTTCAATGCTAGGCAAAGGACTTTTCCTCAGATGAACTTAGTTTTAATCTCTGATGGATATTGTTCCATTGTATTTCATTATTTAAATCATTTTACTGGGTGATTTTTTTTTAAAAAAAAACTGTATTAATTTGCTTGTTGCAGATTTCAGGAAGTTTAGAATTACATCACATTTGTTTCCTGTCCTTACTCAAATAAACTCAAAAGGATACATAGGATCAATACATTTCATGCTCTCAACACTGAAGGTGGAGTTTTTGACTCACTCATGGCCTCCCAGTGACCTGCACAGCTGAGAAGGGCTTTAAGTGTGAGTACAGTATTGTATTTCCAGTGCAACATTTATGCTGGCTCCACACATTGTTTGTTCGACAATGATATACTGTACTGTATATAGCACATCTTTGCTGTCTCACAACATTTAATACCATTTGAAAAGTGCAGAATTGAGAATGGGAGGCAGTCAGGAGTTCTACCAACTAGCACTCTGTTTTGCTCCACCAATCATGATTGCAATGGGGAAGGATTAATGACATACATCAGTGTTCATCGTGAAGCGCATGATTTCCCCCCGTTTCCCTGTAATTTTTCTCAGTGCAGTTAAAGAGGCATGGAAAAGAAGTTGTGCAGTGTATTATAACCACTTTTGTAACTCATTCCATCAACCCCTTATTTGGGGGGCAGTGCCACCCATGGTGTCAGTCATGAAGTGGCTCTGTGAATGTAGCCCTGGTTTTATTGTTATCAGCTTCTACCTGGCTTGTTCTCATTGCCACTTTTGTTCTGCATACGTGTCTCATCTCCCAGCTGTTTTTGGTATGTCTGTTACCTTGGCATGGAGAGCCATGTGTTTCATATTACAATATCCAAGTAGGGGACACCAGGACTGGAACACCAGCACCTGTTCTACAGACATACTACGCTGGATGTCCAATTTGAGTGTAACAATAGGGGGAGGAAACAAGAGGATAAGTGGTACTTACAGTAAATTTAACATCACACACAATGGTGGCTCCATGTTGTAATGTATATAGCCAACCCTGCTCTTTTTTTCTGGGCAGAAGGGTAATGGTGGCACTCAAGGGGGTAGATCTAATGGATGAGAGGGGTTACAAATTATGGCTCCCTGCCAAAGTTGGGGGAGAAGGGATTGTTCCAGGCAGCCATGGCAGTGCCAGAATTCCCTATGCACCCCTGAGTGGGAAAGCTATCCCTACAGGGTAGCATCCTGGAGTTGTAACTTTGAACATGTTTAGGTGGGGGAGCCATACGGCCACAGTTTTGTATGGGCTTAGGAGGTAAGGATGGAATCTCTTCTCATTTCACTACTCTCTCCTCACCCACAGCTCAGACCATTCTTTGCTCTCTCCTATTGGAATTTTACTCATGTCTCCTTACATAATCCAATCTGTCTGGCTGAATGTTAGGCATCTCTCTCAGTCTCTCTCCCCTCACCACACTTTGTAGAAAAACAATACATTGAAAAGGATGGGATGCCTCCCCAAAATCAAGCAATCCTCTCTTTATCATTAATGTGCTCTGCTTGGGAAAACAGAAGAGGGGGAGGGGTTTAACAAGATAAAAGGGAAGTGAGGATGTTTGCTCTATACACTTCTGTTGGCAGACATTCCCAGAAGATATCAGAAGACAAACCACAACGTGTGTGGATTAGCAATCACGTGACAGTGTGTAACTGCCGGGGCACACCTTTGGACAGATGCTACAAATTCAGTTGCAACATTAAGTGAAGAAAAAAGTGCCATTAAGCAGTCTAAAAGGATGCTATGGATTCCCTCTTAAAGGGCCTGTCCACACATCCTATTTGCTCTTGTTTAAGAGGTGGTTCAGACATCCATTGATCTGGAATAGTTCAACAGATCTATGTGATGTTAGACCTACCTGACTTAATTCCTTCCCTTCTGCTTTCAGATTATTGTTCCTCATCTATGAACTGGGATTTCTCTCCATCCTGGTTCCGCCCAGTTCCTATAGGTGCATGTGCTCCCCTGGCATAAGCAATCATGTCATCTGTGGGAGTTGCCTCCTCAACATGGAGCAGGATACTCTCTTCCTGACTCTCTAAATGGAGGGGATGGAATTGTTTCCAGGTATTCTCCCTAGCATGGCCGCCTCTCACTTTCTGCTTCATCCTGTTGTTGTTGTTGTTCTTGTTCTTATGTGCCATCAAGTCAGAACCAACTTATACTGACATTAACAGGGCTTTCAAGACAAGTGAAATATTTAAGGATTGGTTTTATCAATTCCACACCCACAGTGAGCTTCCATGGCTGACCGTGGATTCAAATCCAGGTCTCCTGAGTCACTCTACCCACTACACCACACTGGGTATCCTTCATGCCTAGCAAGATCAATACAGTATAACAGTTTTGCCCTGCAAGGAAAAAAAAGAGCTAACATCTCTAAGCTCTCCTTCTATGATTCTTATGCCTTTCCTTTTATTTCCTTTTTATTTCATTCTCTTCAAATTCTGGAAGGGATTCGTCCCTCTCCCATTGTCAAAAATAAAAAAAGGGGGGGCGGACTTGTGCATACCATTCCAAGCACTAGAGACCAAGTGAAGATTGCAGGGAGGGAATGACAGAAGGCATAGCTGTAGGGGCCATAAGAAGGAGGCAGGGAAACTCTGATTAAAACAAGTATGAAAACAGGATGAGTAATCCTGAATCTATGGAGAAAAAGAATCTCAACCTGCATCAATCTGAACCATATACCTCATGTACACAAGCTCACAGATTAAGAACCACCAACTGCAACCAGATCAATTGTTGTGTCAAGAGTTGAAACAACTCCCTAGATATTTTCTTCAAGTATGGCAGCATTATATCCCTATAGTGACAACTTCATACTTACACAAATCACTATTGTCATAACCACGGTTAAGAATGGCAGGACCACAGCACCGATGCGGCATTTCTTCTGGCTGATTCTAAGGAGAAATGGGTTGAAAACGAGATCCAGCATTTCTCTAACTTTATGAAACTAACCTTATGTTTTACATTTCTTTGTATCATCCTGCTAACAATTGTTATTGCCAAGGAAAGAGATGGGGACAATTGACACATGAGGAGGGATGTGTTGCCCATCCCCAATCCTTTCTCTTAAGCTTTGAATGTATGATCATGAAAAGAACGCCAGTGAGTGAGTTTATGTGTGTACATGGAAAAAAGAGCAAAAGAACTTGGGAGCACAGATATGAAACAGAGGGTTTGGCCATCATATTCCAGCACTGCCACCAAGTGATGGTATCACTGGATTCAGGGAATGCTGCTATAACCACTCAACCACATACTGCTGATCCTGGAGTGTGTGAGCCCAGGAGAGTTAAACGTGGTGATCGCTAGGAA